CTGCGTGCATGTCAGAGGTAGACTCCCCGCAGTTCCCTGTGTGCATGTCGGAGGTAGACTCCACACACAGTTCCCTGCGTGCATGTCGGAGGTAGACTCCACACAGTTCCCTGTGTGCATGTCTCAGTGTTGCCTTGCAGTTATACCATATACTCTGGCTTGAAACCCATTCCAAAACACCCTCAGAAGTCTTGACACCTTCACATCAGGTATGTCTACAGGAGTGGTTCTAATGTCCTATCAAATGCCTCCATTACCACATGGAAACTACTGTCAAAGCTTTAAATATAGAAAGAATCTAAGAGTTTTTGTTTTGTTTTGTTTTGTTTGGGTTTTTTTTTTTTTGCCTCAAATGAAGCAAACTGATATTTCTGCTGAAAGGCTAGTAATGGAGATGGTGGGGGTGGACACAGAGGAGACATTTAGAGCTTCCTATTGACTAGCCTGGGTTAGCCTTAGAGTAACAACCAGGCCTCCAAGTACCTGCTCTGGGCTTGGCCCCTGCGGCCAAGCCCTAAGCTGATGCCCGGAAGAGGACCTGGCTCCTCAAAGCTTACCTTGGCTTGGAAGGGGGTGGAAACACCAGGGGACCCCAGCAACACTGGAGTCAAAGCAGCAGCCAAGATCAAAGCACTGGTCACTGGTGATGCCCGGGAAGCCACAGTTCTTCCTGTTGTGAGGTGTCAGCCTCGAGCACTGGCAGGGAGCTGCAGACAGACCCAGCAATGGTCAACCCTGCCCAGTGTGCCAGATGCCTACTCCTCACATGCACAGTGGGAGGCCTCAGGGACCCACCATCATCCTGTTTTCCCAAGGAGTGACATGGGATCTTATTTTGTCCATGTTGGTGGTCTCCTGGTGAGGAAACCACAGGCCTTTACTGAAAACGTTTCATTTGTTAAAAAGAAACAATCTAGCAAAAATTCTGTAAAGAGAGTGACAGCTTGGGCCAGGTGGAGTTCAAGGTGGAAGGTGAGCTTGATGGGCCGGTAGGCAGCCATCCCTCCTGCCCTCCTCAATCTAGCCCAGCACCTGAGGCATCCTTGATTCTGAGTGAGCTCTGCCCAGCAGCCCCCACTACAGGATGCTTTCTAGTTTCTCTCAAGCTGTTACCCTGCGTTCTTCCTTTCAGAGAAGCAAGTGGGAAAGCCCCATCTAATGTAGGTGAGGGATGGACTGGCATCCCCCATGTGTGCATACACCCCCGAGAGGTTCCCAGCTCCCACCTGCAGGATCGCCCGTGGTCTCCACTTACAAGGTTTCTCGCCCTCCACCAGAGCACACAGTCCCAGGACAAGGACCACTGCCAGGAGCGGGCCACCTCGAGGTCTCATGTCTGCTCCACTGCACCCGGACAGCCTGCAGAATGCCCAGGTCCCACTGGCCAGTGTTTTATCGTCTCCTGTTTGTTTGTTCAAGGGCCCTGATAACCTTCCCCACCCCTTGCCCATGGCCCCAGCCCTCTGGATCTTTTGTGCAAAGAAATTGAGCTAGTTCCACGTGGAGGTTCAGGAGGAGGTGGGAGAAAACTGCCCACACGGGCCAGAGAGGCTTCCGGGCTGCAAGTCTGGTGGGCTGGGCTGGCCGCCCTGAGCACTGCCACCCACTGCCCCAGGCAAGAAGCAGGGTTGCCAGGTTACTGACGTGGAGGACAGGCCACATGCTCATCTGAAGCTGGACACTCACAGGGTCACGCCCAGGAAGGAATTAAACCACGTTTTATTCCAGACAAAGTTTGTGTGAGTTTTTATTTATGTATGTCTAAGAGACTGAGACAAGAAGCAGGGGCTCCCAGGACTGCAGGACCTCTCAGGGCATCTGGTTAACACCCCTTCTGTGAGTGCACCCTGCCTCAACCTGGTCCCATGCCAACCTTGGGGACTCCTCTTGGCAAAGCCCAAGGAACAGCCAGGGTAAGCAGCTAACCAAGTTCTTTATTTATTTTATATGTAAGGGTTATTTTGCCTGCATGTGTGTAAGTGCACCATATGAGTGCACTGCCTGTGAAAGTCAGAAGAGCATGTCAGATTCCCTGGATCTAAAGTTACAGACAGTTGTGAGCCACCATGTAGGTGCTGGGAACTGAACCCAGGTCCTCTGCGAGAGCGGCGAGTGCTCTTAACCACTGATCCAGCTCTCCAGCCCCGAACAAGTTCCTTTAGCATGTCTAAAGCTGGGCTGGGTTTCTCACAGGGCTCCTTCACATTTCTTCCAGTGGCACCAGGCACTGACCCACATCCAGCAGTGAGATGTCCTACGGAAGGGATCTGTTCCTCACGTCCACCATTTTACATCAGTCTCTTGGGGCCTCTCTTCAGGAATTCTGATCCTGATGCACACTGCCTGGTCTCACGGGCTTTGCTCTGGGACCTTGGAGCAAGCCCTTATATGTCCACGACCCTTACATCTTGCATGCTTATAAAGGCAGCTCTGGGTGAATGATACCAACTTCTGCTGCCAACTTGACACGTCACTACACTGTCTACAGCGGCCTTGGGGTGCCTGCACACCGGACCTGGGGAAACATTTCCTTAGGTGGCTCTGTCCGAGCAGCAGGCCCTGGGGACTCTCTTCTTTTAAATGAGTTTCATTTGTACATCTGGGATCATTTGACGGGTGGGATCCAGCTCTCCAGCCACCTTTCCTATTGTTCCAATGCAAATATGTACTCATTTTTTTCTCTTCCCTGTTTTTGGTGTTTTCTTTTAATGGAACAAACATTTAATGATTACAGACCCTTGGTTTGTACACAACTTCGAATGTTATAACTCCTATTCTCATCAAACTGCACCTTATCTCCACCTCTCTGCTTCACACGTCCCTCTGGATTTCCACTGTAAATTCGGCAAGAAGCAGAAGGTAACAACCATGCCACAGCTGCACTGTGACACTGTCTTGAAATTTCCACTTCTAAATAAATTAGTTCATTGCTTTTGAATTCAGATTCACTCAATTTTGAAGGACTAGGCAGACTGAAACCAAATTATCCGGCAGAATGGCCTCTAGCTCCATCCAGCTTTTGTCTTACTTGGAAGGTCGCAAGCACTGTCTTTATCACCCTTTCTATCCAAATTCTGACGTTCCAAACTCTCATCAGCCCGTCCTGATAAGCTCTGCTCACAGCACTCTGGCCTTCTCTAGCCTCAGCTCTAAGCCCCTTTGCAAGGCTCCTGCAAACCAGTTCTGAAGACTCGTGAACTGCAGCATCTGGTTTACCCTCAGCATGCTTCTCTCAATTCCAATAATTTTCGGTCAGTTACTTGTCTTGTTGCAGTGACAAAATACTTGTCAGAAGTAACTTCCGGGAGAAAATGTTCATTTCGAATCATAGTTTCAGAAGGATTTTGTTCATGATAGAGAGGAAGGATGTGTAATGGAATGGCTGCATAAAGGTGTAAGGATGTGGCAGTGTGGGGGTGCGGCTCCGTGGAGGTGATAGTATGAGGGTGCAGCTTCATGAGGTGAGAGTATGGGGTGCAACTCTCCATGGAGGTGACGGTGTGGGGGTGCGGCTCTGTGAAGGTGAGCATGTGTGACAGAGCTCCTCATGTGGCCTCCAGACCAGGGACAGCAGAGAGCTCAGACCAGATTGGAGAGATGGCTCAGGGGTTGTGTTGACTCTAGCAGAAGATCCAGTTTGGCTCCCAGCACTGACGGTCAGGAAGCAGAGAGCAATGAACACAGGGGCTACTTAATTACCTGCATAAATGAAAGTCTTGTCACTGCCATCACCTGGCTCCTCTGTACAGGACAGATCAAACTCCTGCGTGTGAGGAAGTAATTGCCTTTATGCGCCGGACCCCACCTGGACTCTGCCTGCTCGGCGGCCAGACTCCCAACCCCTGATGCCTGGCCCTCATCTCTGAGCCTTTGCTGCGTGCCCTTCCCTCTGCTTGGCTGTGCTCACGCTCTGCCCTGCCACCCGCCTTTCCTCAGCACCGACCAGAAAGCTTCTCTTCTAAGAAGGCTTCCTTTACTTCCCTAGAGTGAAGAGAGATGCCCCTCCCATCCTCAGCATCTTTTGTCCACGCTGTAAGCAAATGTTTTCTTCTTCAGGTCCTATAATACCAAAGACAGCAGCTAACACTCACGTTAAATTGCTTACTGGCAGCAGGCAATGGTCTAAAACTTCTCATTTAATCCTTACAACAATCCAGAGGAGGGGCCAAAACGGTCATTTCCCCCGCCCACACACACCCATTTCATAGTCCAAACAGAGAATAGCCCAAACAATACAGCCAGGGCTATACCTGGCTCACGGGGCCACCCCAGGACCCAGCCACATGGTCACAGGAGCGTTGTGGAGGGTGGATGGCTGGAGTTTGGGGAGAGAAACCTGTCGCCCCATGTGACCCATTGCCTAAAGGCCTTTTGAAATGATAATATCTATACAGATGACAGGGATAGATGCAAACGAATGAGACGGGCCTGGCTACTTCCCTTGACAGGTCTCCTTACCTGTGAACAAAAGGATGGAGAGAGGATTGATCCAGCACTGGCCCAGAACCTAAGTCTGACAAGGTGTCACAAAACATTTCCAATGCCCAAGTTCACACGCTTAACATCCCTGAATGTGACAGGGGCCGGGCTGAGTGAGTGGCAGCCATACACAAGTTCCTTTCACAGCATTCCAGGTTGTTGGAGTTTTGTGCTGATCAATATAGTGGGTCAGTAATAGAAATTTCACAGCTTAGTTCTAAACACCTAACAGAAAATTTGAGCAGGACTAGAAGAACAAACAGCATGTAAAAATGTTAACGGTCGATGTCACATCAGGAGGAGAGTGAGATCAGAGCTGTCTCAATGAGTCACATGGTAGGAGGTGTAGGTGGATGGACATAAATTTAAGCCTATCTTAGAAATTGCAGCACAGATGGGGGAGGGGCTACTGAGGTCTCAGTTGAGAGTCATTGGCAGTTGATGGCTGCTAGGGGGGACAGAGAGTCATGGGCAGTTTCCTGTACCCCTTGATGAGTGGTACACACCCATGCATTTAATTAGACTCAGTGGATTAAAACTTAGTAACAATAAAAATTTTACATTTTAGGGGCTGGAGAGATGGCTCAGTGATTAAGAACACTGGCTGTTCTTGCAGAAGACCAGGGTTCAAATCCCAGCACCCACATGGCAGCTAACAACTGTCTGTAACTCCAGTTCCAGGGGATCCGACAGCCTCTTCTGTCCTCCACGGGCATTGCACAACACAGGTGCACTTACCTATGTGCAGGCAATACATGCATGCACATAAAAAAAATAGAAACAATAAAATAAAATAAATGTTTACATTTTAGAAAGGACATGAAGTTGGGAGATGTATTGAAAGGGCCCCAGAGGAGCTGAAGGAAGAGAGTGGAGGTAAAGATGATCAAGAAACATTGTATATATACATGAAATTTTAAAAGAATAAAAAAGATTGTTTTAGGGGCTGGAGAGATGGCTCAACAGTTAAGAGCACTACCTGCTCTTGCAGGGGACCTGAGTTTGATTCCCAGCACCCACATGGCAGCTAACAACCATCTGTAACTCCAGTTCCAGGTGATCCGACACCCTCTTCTGACTTCCTCGGGCAATGCACAACATGGGTGCACTCACATATATGCAGGCAATACACTCATACACATAAAATAATAATGATAAAATATTTTTAAAATATTGTTTAAAATTTTATGCATAATTTAAAAATATTTCATTCATTTTTATTTTATTTGTATGAGTGTTTTACCTGCATGTAACATAAGTGCACACACCATACACATGCCTGGGGCCTGCAGAGGCCAGAAGAGAGTGCCAGAGCTCCTGGAACCAGAGTTAAGGACAGGCGTTAGCCATCATGTGGGTACTGGGAACTTAACCTGTGTCTTCTAGAAGAATGCTAATTGTTAACCACTCCAGTCCCTTAAGCATATATTTTTTTTTAATTTTATTTATTATTTTTAATTTATGTGTTCTTGTGTATTGTCTGGATGTAGGTAAGTGCACCCATGTTGTGCAATGCCTGTGGAGGACAGAAGAGGCTGTCAGATCCCCTGCAACTGAAGTTATGGGTAGTTTGCTGCAGTATGGGTGCTGAGATTTGAACCCAGATCTTCTGCAAGAACAGTCAGTGTTCTTAACTGCTGTGCTATCTCTCCAGCCCCATGTATTTTTATTTTTCGAGAACTTCATACATGAGTACAATGCATTTTTATTATATCCATTGCTTACACGCCCTCCTCCAACTCCCTCTCATGCCACCTAAATCCCCTTCCTAAATTCATGTCCTCCTATTCTATTAATAATATTGTGTGTGTGTGTGTG